CTTTTTAAAAAAAACAAAAAAAAAAAAAAAAAAAAAATCTAGTTCACTGAATGGAGACTCTCTCTTGTGCTGGCCCACTGACCCCACCACATGCAAGTTTCCCTTCTAGATTAGTCAACCCCATTCCTCTTGCTGTCCTAATGACTGTTCTCACAGGGGGCCCTACACCCTGTCATAGCTCTTAAGATCAGAGTGGGCAAATGACCCAATGAAGGTTCACCCAAAGATAGCCAATGCCCATGGGAGGGTGTGGTCTACAGACGAAGAGCTGAATGGGCTCAGTCCCATTCCCATGTGTTGAATTTGAAATGAAGCATCTGAGAGATGAACCAGCTAGCTGTGGGAGCAACGCTGAGTGGTCCAAGATGACTGGGCTAGGTGACACTGCAGACTCTTATGTCTATTACAGACAGGAGCCTTGGGGAGTGGAAACCACAGGGGCAGGGCTGAAAAAAGAAGGCAGTCGGCAGAGCCCTCTCTCTTTCTCTCTCCCTCCCTCCCCTCCCCCTCTCTCTCTCTCTCCTCCTCTCTCTGACAGGATCTAGCTATATAGTTCAGGCTGGCCTCAAACTCATAATCCTCCTGCCTTAGTTACAGGAGTACTGGCATTACAGACATGTGTCACCATGCATGGGCTTGAGCAAAGCCATTTATGAGAGTGGAAGTGATGAGGGGCCCAAAGACCCTGAAAGAACTAGATGATGACCCCTGTATCTGAGAGAATCCTAGACACCTGCTGGACCTATGGACTCCTTGAGGCTGTTTCCTGACTGACCCTCTTTCCCTCTCACACTGTCCCTGATATATACTTGTCACACTCACCAGGTCATTCCAGGTTGCCTTTGGTCAAATATGGGAGACAGGGATTAGCCTGGAGGAATGAACAAACTTACTTTTTTCTTTCAGAGATTTGAACTCACATTTCAACAGGTTTTCACACTGAGTCACCCTAAACCAAAGAAATCACCTTCTGTTCTATTCCTGAATGACTTCCAGCAAGCCCAGTGTTCCAGTCAGCTTTACAAGAACTGCCAGCAATCCTGATGGAAAGTTCTGGGATCTGATAGGCACTCAGGGTCCAACTTTACCAACCTCTGCTCCAGTGGACAGCACAGCCTTCTGAAAGCTTTAGTTTTACAGGATCAAGCTCTCGACATTGCTCATCCCAACCAGATCCTAGTACTCATTAAAGAAAAGGCTCTCAGCCAGATATAGTGATGCAGGGTGTTATCCTGTCCCCCGTCTGGGGACAGAGGCAGGCAGATCTCCATGGTTTGAAGCCAGTCTGGTTTACATAGTGAGTTCCAGGCCAGCCAGGCCTACACAGTAAGACCTGTCTTAAAACAAACAAGAAAAAAGCAAACATAAAACAAAGATATTTGGGGCTAGAGAGAATGGCTCAGCAGTTAATATCACTTGCTGCTATTCCAGAGGACCAGAGTTCTGTTCCCAGCACCCACTTTGGAGGCTCACAACTGCCTATAGCTCCAGTTCCAGGTCTGACCTTGGTGGGCACCTGGCATACACACAGCATACATTCGCGTGCGCGTGCGCACGCGCGCACACACACACACACACACGACTCTTTTTAAAAATATGAAAAGGCTCTCGAGATACTTTGAAGGACATGGACTACTCAGAGCAGTTGAGAGCATCCTTGGTAAGATCAAGAAGAAAGTGCTCCCTAAGGAATTGCTTTTCTGTGAGGAGGGAGGAACAAGGGAGAGAGGGGGAGAGGAAATGACAGGCTCTTTAGCTCTAGGGCCATCTGGAAGGGAGTGCCTGGGCCCAGCAGCTCCTGTCCTGTGCCCCTTGTTGGTGTTGGCATTGCACCCACATGGAGAGTTGCTCTCCAGCTGAGACCGTCAATCCATGACCTTTGTTCACCCTGATAGCCCATGAAACAATAGCATCCCTTTGTGGATGACATCCAAGGCAGGTGGGAAGTGGTGGTCAAGGCTCAGCCATGTTTAGTGTCCCCAGCACATCAGTCAGAGAATCCAGAGTGGACAGACTTCTTAAAGACACAAGTTGTTAGGGTGTGGCTATGATACAAGCTCACTCAGGTATGTGGTTGGATGAAAGGTCAACAGGACCCTGTCCCCCTAGACATGAATATAGGAGCAAGAACTGACATTATTGAAGGAAGGACCCTAGGCCTGGTTCCCAACAAGGTACTTCTGGTCTGATTTCTTGGTAATGGCTTCCCTTGTGAGTGGGACTGACCTTCCCCCTGGGGTCCCTGACTCCCTGGATCTTCCCCACAGGCTCAGGTATGTTGGGGAGGCAGAAGGGACAGGAAAGTGCTCTGGCAAAGGAATATTCTCTAGCCAGCCTTTAATGCCTACCTCTCATTTGCTTTGTTCATAGAATCAGCCCCCATCACCAAATATGCGCGTGGAGTCACAGCCTCAACTTCCCTTTCTGCCTCCGGAGGGGCTCCCAAGGGACAGCAGAGGTGTCCAGAAGCAGAGCTGGTACTGACCAGTGGGTACAGCAGGAGAGTCCCTCTGTCTCATCTCCTGTGGTTTCCACTGCACCTCTGGCTCTCCACTGGGAACAAGTTCTGGATGGGGGTCCCCAGGGCATCAGCTGACCTCAGGCGGTGAGCAAGGAGAGAGAACTTCTCAATTTAGTGGAACTGATGTTGGCAAGTCAGTCATGTCCAAGTGAATTGGTGAAATGAAACCCACCTGGACATCCATGTCTATTTAAAGCTGTTCACATGGAGTAAGAAAGTGACCAGGTCAAAAACAACTCTACAAGGGGGAATCTCACACATGTTCATAGTCCCTCCAGCAGAGAAGCTGTCTCAGACAGCGTTGATCCCCTTTAGCATGCCTAACCTGCTAATGCTTGTTTTGGGATGAGTTGGAAAATAAAGTATGAACTAAGATGTTAACCTTCACTCTGTCTCTCTGCTACTGTCTACAGTACTGCCTGAGCACACTAAGTACATGCTCCTGTTAGCATGCTGGGGAAGCCTACAAACCTCTCATGTGCCCTCCACTGATACCTAGGACTCCCAGAGATGTGGGAGTATGTGCCCTGCCTGACCAGCTCATCTGGATCACATCTCCTTCTCCTCCTCCCAACAGCCTTTCCAGACAGATTCCCAGGGGAATCCAACTAGCGTTCAGTGATGTCCCAGAATGCCAAGAGTTCTTGAAGTGAGCAGAGGGTTTCCCACTCTAGATGCTACTTTACCTGACTATGGCTCTGTGCACCTCAAAGCAACTAGGTCTCTAGTATCTGACAGCCTTGGCCTCGAGAGAAACATACGACAAGGCCCAGAAAACCAACAGGTGCACTCCCTCACTGCACCCCCAGCCTGCAGGCAGGGAGCCAGTAGGCTTCATTTTTAAAACAATGGTTTCCCTTTTTAAAGAACAGCATTGAAGATAAAACAGTTCCTTGCTGGGGGGTGGGGGGAGTGATTCTAGACTCTCTAAAGGATGCCAAAAATCTCTGGATGCACAAACTGCCTCTGTAAAATGGCACATTTGCACATAACCTACTTGTACACTATACCCTCCAGCATACTTTTTATGTCTAGATTCCCCCCATTAAATTCTGTGTAAATTTGAGGTAGACAGTGATTATACTGTTTACAGAATGGCAAGCATATTTATATCTATATCTATAAATCTCCAGAACAGATTTTTTTTCTTTTTGGGGGCCTGGAGAGATGGCTCAGCAGTTAAGAGCAATTACTACTTTTGTAGAGGTCTGGGGTTCCATTCCCAGCACCCATATGGCAGCTCATGACTGCCTGTAACTCCAGCTCTAGGAGATCTGACATTCTTTTTACTTCTGCAGGCCCTGGCATGTATGTAGTGCGCATAAACACATGCAGTAAGAGCCTGCACCCACTGAGCCATCTCAGTGGCCCTGCAATCTTTAAAAAATTTTTGTTAATTTTATATGTATGAGCGTTTTGCCTGCATGTATGTAAGTGTAACTCATGTGCGCAATGCCCCTGGAGGCTAGAAGAGGGCTGGATTTCCCTGGAAAAGTTATGGATAGTTGTTAGCTGCCATGTGGGTGCTGGAACCAAACCTGGGTCCTCTGCAAGAGCAGTCAGTGCTCTTAATCATTAAGCGCCAGTCCCTGTAATATTTTCTTTTTGAGTGTTTTCAGTCTGTGATTGGTTCATTCATGGATGTGAACTGTGGATCTGGAAGACCAGTTGTATTTATAATTAACACTATGTGGTGATCATGTACAATCTATTCTCCACAGGGTGAGGGCCAGGCCCAGTCTTGCCAGACTTGGGGTTGATGGATTTAAACAGGAAGATGAGGGAAGGGGGAATGGCAAGCTCCAGAGATGCAGAAAAGAGGGTGAGTTGCTAAAAATGAGTTCTCAACTTCCTGAACTCAAATGATGCCCTGAAGTCCTTGCTACCACCCCAGGCAGCACTCTGTAGGGAGGGAAGGGGAGGGAGCTGACAGGCATGACCCACAGGGGTCATGCTGGCCTCAACCCAACTCCCAAGACAGAGGAGGGCAGGTGTCATTAGCCTGGGTGTGAGCCCACCCTACTGGAGCAGAGAAATCAAATTCCATTCAGTAACTGGGACTCAGGAACCCAGATGGCTGAAGTCTGGGGCTTATGATGGGCTGTGGAAGCTCCTGGGGCCCAGTGGCCCATTCCTCTGCTTCCAGAGGGCTGAGCTGGAGGGACATGCCCCAGATTCGGTCCTTCCAGCCAGTGTACTTCTGCATGCTTGTCAGAGGTGCTCAAAAGCAAAGTATTCTCCATAAACATGCAACAAAGGGTAAAATAAGACAGCTATGAAAAGTAAGGGAATATGGCCCTCTGAGTCCAGTTACAACCCAAAGCAGGATCTCAACTTCTGTGTTCTTAGAGTCTTACTTGGGCTTCTGCTTGTTCGTGAGAGGAAGAAGGCAGGTGAAGTAGACAAGGCTTACACAATGAGCCATATTTGTATAAGGGGCTACACACAGGTGCACCTCTCTTGTCTGCACTCAGAACAAACAAGACTGGAGAACACTGGTGCAAACAAAGGTGTAGAAGTGCAAGCTGAGCCCTCTCAGTGCTATGTACACTGCACAGGGCTACTGTACAGCCACCCCAAGGGTGGAACCAAGCCTCAACGGCATTCCTGTGTCTATAAAATCCATAGCATTCCATAGTGACCTCTACCAGCTAGAATACCCTCTAACATGAGCCATAAAAAAATCAGATTCTGACATATGCAGGTCTCTGGAATAAAAACAAGCATGTTTAACATCAATGAAAAACACAGAAAGCCTCACAAAAATAAGACTTTTATTACCAAAACATTATAAAACTCAAAACCTCTTTGAAATACAACTTCAAAAAAATACTGTCTGCCCAAAGCAGAGGTCAAGTCATTTTATACTTCTGGGATTTAGTACAATATCCTTAAAAAAGGATCCAGTAAATACAGACAGGAGCTCGTTTATTCAGTCATATAAAATTCTCTTATGACATCTTATGGCGAGAATGCAGAGGCAGGTGGATCTCTGTGAGTTCAAGGCCAGCCTGGTCTACATAGTGAGTTCCAGGACAGCTCGAGCTACAGGGAGACCCTGTCTCAAAAAGACAAAAAAAAAAAAAAAAAAAAAAAAAAAAGATAGTTTTCCACATTTTAGCATCCACGAATACATTCTATATTTCTGAGTATCACCTTAACTTGAAGAATTTCCTCTGAAGAACAATAAACTCCAGGAAAGGAAAGGTCTTACCTATCTGAATATCACATGGACCTCATGGCCTGGAAGCACCCAGTCACCACAACTCTGACTTACTTGTCAACACAGTACCCTGAGCTTCTTGTTGGTTAAGTAAGTCTTTTTAATTTTTCTTGTCACAAAACAGTCAATGGATTGAACATGTCATTTCACACCTTCCCTGAAGACTGTTAGACCTTAGGTTGGGGGGTGTTGGTCAATAGGATGTGAGGTGTCACAAGCAGGAGTCAAGCATCTGAGCTTGGAGGCAATGTCCTTGCAGAGCACAACGATGGCCTCCTCCTCACCACATGGCTGGTCCTCTGTGGCCTTACAGACCATTCGGATGTGGGTTTCAAGGACATCTGGCCGCTGAGCCCCCAGCCACATGTCCTTAATGTACAGAGACACCAGGAACACTGCAGAGGCTGGGGAAGAGTCGACAAGGCCATTAGGATGTGCACCTACTCAGATGGAAAGCAAGCCACCCATCCACACTGCACCAGGCTTTGCTCAGCCACCACATGCACTGTGCTAGAACCTGTGAACTAGAGGTGAGCGTGTGGCTAAAAAGCAATTTCCCCTTGTGCTATTCTTTCTGATCATTTAAAAATTTACCTTTTTTCTAATGAATGTGTACAGATCTTAAAAAGAAGTTACTGAAAGTCCCTTCCTGGTCTGAGCCCCCATGCCCTGGGCCAGCACTGATCTGAGAAGCACCTCCTAGGACATTTCTTAAGCTCCTCAAATGGCACAGATGAGGAAAAGACAAAAAGATAGTTCCCCTGCTGCAGCCAGATGAGAGGAAGGTTGGCGCCTTCTGCTACAAGGTCACAGCCAGCCTGAGAAGGGGACCACCTTCCCAGATGGAGAACATGCCTGCACTTATAGCCATGGAAGCCAGAGCAATCCAGTTGTCACTCACTCCTGCAATCGAGCCTTTGGATGCCAGGTGGATGCCAAGCACAGACTGCATTGCATGTGTGTACTTGTAGGTATGCGTATCTATCTGTAGGCTTGCACAGTCTTGACTGGTTATCATGTGACACAGTCCTTCACTTAAGTAAATCAAAACACACTCTGCTTTGCATGGTGGAGTGCCCCTGGAGGGACTCTGAGGTACTCAGGGGATGCCTATCACCATGAGCACGATTGTCACTAATAGGAAAGACTTCCTCTCCCTTCACAGTCACTCTGTGACTCCCACAATCTTGGTAGGATTCACTTAAAATACTTCATCAAGGCATTGAACTGAAGAAGGTTCTACCAGAGACCTAATCTGCTCTAAGAAAGAGAACCTTCCCCACAGTTCTACAGCTTCTGACTAAAAAACCTGCATTACCTTGTGTGGCTTGATCCTTCTTGTTCAGGGAAGCGGCACATAGGGCCTCCATTGCTGGGTGGATGGGGTTCCCCATCCAGCCCTGGGCCACCACGAACTGCAGCATGACAGTGTTGAACAGGCAGGTCACATCTTGCACAGGCCCTGCCAGATCCCTGGCACTGCAGAGGCAACTGTATAGCTTAAAGACACCACTCTTCACAGCATTGTCCCTGAGAAGGTCAGCCACCACCACTGGGTGCAACAAAATGTAGTTCTTGAGCCAACTAAGGAGCCGTATAGCCTCTGCCTTGCTGAGTGGGTGCTCAGCCACTGACCGCAGCACCCAGCTGGCCACCAGGGAAGTAGCGGCATGCACAGAACCCAGTGCTTCACTTTTAGGGGTGGCCTGGCCCATAGGCTGCTGAATGGGTCCACGGTTGGGGACAGCTGGCCCCCAATGGGTCAGTATGGCCCTCAAGAGGCCCTTGCATGTCTCTAAGCTAGATGCCTCCAGCACAGGCTCAGGCATGTCCTCAGCCTCCCCAGGCCTCTTCTTTCGACCTCGTGGGCCTTTGACTCGGGCAGCAATCACAGGCCTGTTTTTATCCTTGAGCATTTCTGTTAAACAGATAGAAAAGGTGAGGCCAGGTTTGTGGAGTCCACAAAGATCCTCCTCAAAGAGAAAGGGCAGCAGGTCAGTCCTGAGCACCTAACACTGTTCCAACAGGACCTCTCCACTCTCACTATGATTATCACTGAAATGAACTTAGGGGATACAAGAGGAAAATCTGGGTGCAGTGATGTGTGCCTACAGTTCTAGCTTTTCAGGTGGCCGAGGCACGAAGATGGAGAATGCCTTGGAATTGGAGGCCAGTTTCGCTAAGACAGCCAGAACTCCATCTTAAGAACAAACAACCTACCTACCTACCTACCTGAGAAATCAGAGAGCTGTAGGAGGCAACATCACATCCTGAGTCAAGATGTGTGTGTGTGTGTGTGTGTGTGTGTGTGTGTGTGTGTGTGTGTGTGTGTGTGTGTGTGTGTGTGTGTGTGTGTGTGCGCGCATGCTGATGCATATGTGTGAAGGTGGAGGTCAAAGGTCAGCCTAGAGTATTATTCCTCAAGATGGTCCTCCACCCTGTGTTTTGTTTTTGAACAGGGTCTTCTTATAGCCACAAGTGGCCTGGATCTCACAGAGATCCGCTTGCCTCCCTTTCTTCCAGGCCCCTTTCTCTCTTTTCCCTCCTCTTTCTGCTGCTGGCTGTCAAGAAATGAGCAGCTTTGTTCTGGCACATGCTCCCCATCATGACATTCTGCTTTGACAGAGGCCTAAGTCAATGGGGCCAAGTGCCTATTGACTGAAACCCTCTCAGGCATTTTGTCATAGTGACAGAGAGCTAACACACACAGGTAGTGACTTATTTAAGAGCAAAAAGCTACTAAGTATTGGGGTTGGAATTCAAATCTAGGTGTTCCCATTCCCTTCTCTGTGCCTCAAACAGCTTTGGAACTGCAGTTAAGGGATGGGGAGATGTTGGCTGCTCTAGGCGGAGCTGGGCAGTGAGCGCAGTCAGGAGTTCTGGAACTTACTCATTAGGTCCCTGACTTGGCACTTCTCGATGGCTGCTTTCAGGTCTCCTTGGAGCTTCAGGTCTCTTTCAATGAGGCTCCACTTGTGTAAGAGGACCAGAACATCTTTGGTGGAGAGTGACATCTTGTTCACAGTAAATCGGCCCATGTTCCTAAAGGCCTGTATGATGGTTGACCGGTACCTCAGCACAGACTCAAGTGTCCCAAAGAAGTTGGTCAGCTGGGTGGAGGTCAACGTAGACCTGTTTGGTGGCCAATGTTACAGAGTAAGCAAAAGCTGGCCCTTGTCCTGGCAGTCCAGGATTGTAGTGAGTTGCTAGGGTCACCAAACTTTACTCCCCTTGCAATAGACAGCTAGTGTGGGCCCCAGGACACAGAAGAGAGAAAGTGAAGTGCTCTGGGGAGGCCTGGGATCTGACCTCTGCACTGGAGGAAGGGGAAGTAAGCAGAAAGCTTGAGGGTCAAGCCTGTAGGAGTGACATGGAACTCCACCCCAGGATGCTGATTCCTCCCCCAGCTCAGGAACTGTCAGACTGGAGAGAAAGATCCCGGCAGGCCCAGGTTCAGCATGGCCCCACAGGGAAAGCCTGACTAATGCTCAGTAAAAGAAGCACATCTTTCTGATCTTTCAATATCACCTGTCACACAATGTTAAAAGCTAAAACATCATCTCCAAGAGCCATCAGTTCTCAGGCAACAATGTGCTGGACAACTCCAAAATAAGAATCGCCCAGTGAGGTCTTCATTTACTTTGGGACACCATGAAACCAAATGCCCTGTTTTGATCAAGGTTGTCTCCATTCTGAGCACTATCTTTCTGTAGTTACTCTTCTGACATATTAGCACACACCAGCTCCCACATGGAAAATGTAAGTGCAGAATGTGTTTTCTACAGCACAGGGACTTTGAGGAGAATTGAATTCTCTAGAGGAAACAAGAGCCTGATTCCAGGGTCAGATAAAAATACTGATAGTCAAGGAAATCAGTGGATATGTGAGTCTCTGTAGGCTAGCTGCAGGCACCCTGCCTTAGGCTCAGGTCACAGAAAACATGCTCTTCTGAGAAACTGCACTTTAAGCATTTGAATAATAATAATAATAATAAAAATAAAAAGATGGTTTGCTTGCTAAAAATGAGCTGGCATGATTCATTTTGGGTTTTAAAAGTATGCTAGTTTGTAGGCTCTTAATGACGAACCTCATAAGGCTGAAATAAAACAAAAATTAAAACAGATGTCCTGATGTTACCCACACCCAACATGGGTACCTTGGCCTGGTCCACACCAGGCCATGACTCAGAGCCCATCTGTTGGCTTGTAACAGAGATGTGGTGACCACAGGCGACAGAAAAGAATAAGCAGCAATGACTATCACAGCCTTGATTTGGCAGAAAGGGTGAACTCACCTCAGGTGCTTAGTGAGTGCCATGAGGACATACAGGAACTCATTGACCAGGTGCAGGGCAAGCATCTTCTGGGGCTCATGGGAACTGGGTTGGTGAGAAGGCTGGCTCCCCTCCTCCAATGCTTTGTCTCCCAGGTTGGCCACCCACAAGGTCTGCAGCAAGCAGATCACATTGGAGAGCAGTCGGGTCTCCAGAAACCTGAAACCAAACATGGTAGCAGCCTGGTGCATCCTCTTCTGTCTGTGAGGTCAGTCTTTGGAAATGTGGGGCGTATGTTGGGGAAACAACGCCATAGGACAGGACAGAACTCTAGTGGAAAAAAACGCCACCCAATAAATACAACCCCACCCCGCAGCTCCCTGGAACATCCTCTAAGGAAGAGGGCTTGATGTAGAAATGCAGCTTCAACCCAGGACGAGGCTGCCAGGTCCCTCCAGTACAGTAGCTGCGTGGTTATGAGAGCAACCTGAATTATAATAAAAGTTATTAGGCAAGAACAGGGTATTATTCAATTATGCCTTTAAAAAATCTGACATAGTCTTGAAGTTGTTCATGTTGGAATTCATAAGATTTAAGCTATTAATTTCTTTTAGATAAATTTTTATTTATTTTTATCTTATTTAATTTTCCTGAGGTAGGATCTTATGCTATGTAGCCCAGGCTGGCCTCCAACTCTCTGCAGCCCTTCTGGCTCAGCCTGCTGAGTGTTGGGATTAAAGGCATATGCCACTAATTCCAGCAAGAGAAATTTTAAGAAAAATACTTTAAAAAACTGAATAAGAGTATTGAGTGACCCCTGGGCTTATTATAACTTCTCTGTGATGGACAAAGCCCTCCTGTTAGGTGCCGCCTGCTGTGTCAAGGACTTCTTCAGCATTATACACTCCTCAAGTGGTGGAAATATCAGAAATGACAAGGTGTTTTCCATTCCAGACCTTTCACACTGTGGAATGGGCTCATCACTGAGAGCCAGGACCCAGGATAGAGGTAGAGTGCTGATCCACCTTCACTGAGCACTTCAACGAGCCTTCTGCAACTAGAGGCCTCTTGTTCCTACTTCAAGAGGGACTACAGTTGTTCAGGCTTCAGAAGACAGAACACTCTATCAAACCCTATATAAAGCTGACCCCAGATGAGGGGTGCAAACCACACATAACACAGACAAAAAGGCCAGTTGGGGCTCTGCCAGTGTGAATGGCAATTGGTGCCTCTAAGATCAAAGGCAGGCAAGAGACACTGAAAAGACTTACATAGAGGAAAGGCCTATTGGACATTATCAGGAGCTGGACTGCCAAGCGCTCAGGAGCATTAGAGGACACTTGCAGGGAACATGGCTACTCCTGATACTGAAACCCTTTAGAGGTATCATGAGGCTCATGCAAAAGGTAAGTACCTGCTGTCAAGGATGGGTAAAATCCATGTTAAAAGGCTGTGGTCACGTATGAGTTCATAAGCACATCTGGTGGTCTGGGCAGCACTCTGTAGAATTTCCAGAATCCAATTCTGAAAGGCCAAAACAGAAAGATACTTCTCAGTGGAAAAACCAGAATGATTTGATCAAGAGTGATTTTTTTTTTTTGCTTTGTTTTAAATTTTTGCTTTTTTCGGACAAGGTCTCACACTGCAGCCCAGGCTACCCTCAAACTCATCATGTTTCTGCATCAGTCTGTTACAGGCTGGGATTATAAGCATGAGTCATAAGGCCTGGCTCCAAAGGAGGGATTTCAAAGCTGCAACAGCAGGACAGGCATGGTGGCACACACCTATAATCCCAGCATTTGGGAGGCAGAGCCAGGCAGATCTCTCTAGGCTAGCCTGGTCTACATAGGGAATTCTAGGTCAGCCAGGGATATATAGCGAGACCTTGCCTGAAAAATAAAAAATATCAGCATGCTATGATTGTGGGTGGTCCCTACAAAGGTTGCTTTGCTCAGCCTGTCATCACAGTAGGTCTGAAGAACAGTGCCTTCCTATAAGAGGGCAGAAAGCAGACTTCTAGAATCAATAGGTCCAGGGAGATTTCCATTTCTGTTATCCCATCATGGAACCAACCCACAGAGATGTACCATGGAAACCATATGGCCTTGATATGTGGTGCCCTAGCTGGGACAGAATGTGGGCCCCAGAATTTCTAGCCTAACTGTGAGACACTGGCAGTCCCTTGTTCTGTTTGCCATCTGGAAAGGCGACCATAAACACAGGACTGTCCTTAACTGTTCACCAAGTGCTTCAGAATTCCCAAATCCTAAAAATAAAAAATTACCCTATTCAAATTCCATTTGTTCCAACATATATATAAAATATATGTGTGTGTGTGTGTGTGTGTGTGTGTGTGTGTGTTTGAGACAGGGTCTCTCTCTGTAGGCCCATCTGGCCTGGAACTCACTCTGTAGACCAGGCTGGCCTCAAACTCACAGAGATCCGCCTGCCTCTGCCTCCTGAGTGCTGGGATTAAAGGCATGCACCACCATGCCTGGCTCCAACAAGTTTCTTAATCCAGACTCAATGTTACTCCCCCACATTTTATGTAAGACAGAAATAAAAACTCACTGGGTAGGAATTAATCAAAATACCCAAGTCTTTTCCTATTTACTACTTTTAACAACCAGTGCATTTAGAAAACACAAGGCAGTCAAAGCTCCCAACTCTTGTTTATTGTGGCTCTCTCCTTCCAAAGGCAAATTAAATCTTTCCTTAACATGTTGATAAACATTAATTACTTAATTAACAGAGTACTTTTGACTTGCAACACTAAGTGAAAATTGTATTCTGCCATTGATTTAGATGATGTTAAGAACTTAAAAGTCAAGAAAGACATAGATCCAGGTCAAGAAGTCAACCTGAAGCAAATAAATCAGCAGCACATGATAACGGGAGAAATGATACTAGAAGTTAAATCTCACAGAGAAACAGCTAAAAAGAACATGCTTTCAATGCTTATTACTTTAGGAATTGTGTACTACATAAACCCTTAAGAGTCCTTGCAAGCCTGGCCATGCCTGTAACCCCAGCATGTGGCAGGTAGAGGCAGGAGAAATGCTGCAGGTTCAAAACCAGTATGGTCTACAAACAGGTTTCAGGTCACCCAGGGCTACAGAGAGAGACCCTGCCTTAAAACCAACAAAACCAGTCAACTGTAGATGTGTTCCTTTGATCCTAACCACTTTCAGAGTATGTCTCATAAGGACAATATAACCACAGCACATTAATAGCAATAAAACTTAGTACTAATACAATGTGATTGCCCATAGATTGATATTTTTTTTGAATTTTTATTTAATGTGTATGAGTGTTTTACCTGCATGTATGTACATGCACCCAAGTGTACAGTGCCTGAGGAGACCAGAAGAGGGCATCAGATTCTGGAACTGGAATTATGGATGGTTGTTAGCCACCATGTGGGTGCTGGGAACTGAACGTGGGTCCTCTACAAAGCAGCCAGTGTTCTTAACCACTGAGACAGCTCTCCAGTCTCCTAGAGGCTGGTATTTATTTGAAACATGGTTCTTGCTATGTAGCCAGGCTGGCCTTGAATTTGTGATCCCCCTGCCTCAGCCTCCTGAGGGCTGGGATTCTTCTGCCAAGGTCTGTTGTCTTTATACACTACATGAAATGCAAGGGCCTTAAGGGTTCTAGTCACTCACATCAGATAATTTGTATCCTGGCTTCCTGGCCAACTCCACAAGCTCCAGACTGCCCCTCCCCCTTGATGGCAAAGCAAAGAGGCCCTCCTTCCTATTGCCAAGGCCTAGTAACTACAAAGAAAACCATCATCCAGGATCAAACAAAACTAGATTTCACACACCATGCTCATGAATGAATTGGCTTGGACTACAACAAAGGTACATAGACCTTGCAGAACATGCTCACCTGAGCCATTTCATCACACAAGGGGCTGCTGAAGAAGGACAGGATGATGTGGAACACCCCCCTCCTGGAGCACAGCTCGTAGCAATGCCTGTCTCGAATCCCCTGCCGCAGAATTCCCAACACCCATTCCTGTTCAGTTTTTTGCTAAACCAAACAAGAAAATATTGTTAACTAAGTTACAGCCCTTTTATTGGACAGCCCTTTAAGTACCACTGTTTTCAGGAGATGGCAAAACTACCACAGCAACTTTGGCCTTATACTATTGAGAGCCTAGCCTCATCTTTGATTCCATTTTCAGGTCAGGGAAAAAAAAAAACAAATTAAACATCAAGCTGTGGTTAAGTTCGGTCCATGTCATACACAGGGTATTTAATACTTAGTCCAGGGACTCAGCAAAGAAATACCAGGGGAATGGTGAAAGACTCAGGCCTCAGACAGCCTACTAAACAAGACCTGAGAAGTGCCAGAAGAGCACAGGAGTGGAGCTCTGACCCTGTGGGGCAGCACAAATGGTTCCTTTTCATGACTTTGTTCTACACTGTGTCGTGGTGTCTGTGTGGCAAACTGCATTACTGGGGAAAATAGAAGACATAGTGGCTGAGTAATCTCTGGGGACCCAGAGGACTTGGCAGCATTACCTGGAAGTCAGAGCTGTAGAAGAACTGGTAGAAGCCTGGTAATTTATCCATGTTCAAGGCCTCTTGTGACAGTAGGAACTTGTTGATCTTCCAGTACATGTGCTCCTCTGAGAACATAGGCAGACAGTCACTAATGGCAGGCCTCATTGGACAGACTATGGCTTGGCAGTGTATGAACTGAGGGGCAGGGCCCTGTCCCATGAGGTTCTGCATCCTTGTCCTAAGTACTAGTTCCTGACAATCAGACTATGACCAGACACCCAAGGTGACTTCTATTTGTGTGCTTCGCCGTGTAGTTGAGAAACCACTGCTAGACACGGACAACAGGGTCCACATTGCCTGCCTCCAGCCTCTCCCAGAAAGGAGATGGCCCAGGAGGGAGGCTCATACATCTAAGTCTAGAATACAAAGCAGAGGTAGACACACAGCTACTTTTCCTGCTGTAAGAGCCCAGTTGGGGACCACTGTTCTCTAACACATGCCCTTTTTCAGCATGAGTGCTGATGTAGACAGCTAAATTCAGGCACCATGGACTCAGCAAGAGGCTATGATCATAAACATCTTGATTTCTGATATATTTTCTCCAATCTCTTTTGAGTCAGTAAAGGGTTAATTATTTTGCTTCTTCTCCAAGTCTCCAAGGCAGGGAAAAGCTATGTAATAAAAATGATATGGGACCAGAAGAAACTCAGATCTGAATTCTAAGAGTAACCTGAACACACAATAACTGAGAGGCCTCGGACCTGCTATCTACCTACCCTGAGGGCCTCAGTTGGTGAGGAGGTGGGAGAATCAGTTAGGGGACCGTTTCTTCACCTGAGAGATATGACTATGCTAGACTAAAACATCCTCAGGGTCCCCAGAGGTACCAACATTCTACTGCTTTTCTCTAACCCCAAACAAGGCCTTGAGGTGAATTTGGCCTCCTATTGGCAGGCTGCGTCAGAAGCAGCCTGCTCCCTAGAAGCCACGTTCTAACACTATAGCTTATACCTACAGTGACTCACATGTTTTCCAGCTGAGCACCTGGAGCCACACACACTATGGCCTTGGCTAAGCATGGATCAGTGACTAGTAATAGCAGTGATGGTGGCAGAAGGGCAGCCACTAACAGATGGGTGTGTGCTGTGCCAGACAACCTACAAGAGCTCTGCAGTGCAGGATTCCTGTCACCCCACAGCAATCCTCGAGGCAGGGGCTGCTGTCACCACTCGTGCTGTACAGTGAAGAAACTGAGGCACGGAGAAGTCAGAGGCAGCCTGGATGGAGTTCACATTCTTAGCTCTGGAGTTAGTTTCCTAATGTGGACACACACACCAGGGCTGTACAACCAGTCTGGGTTTTCGCATCAGCTTCATTTGCTACCAGTTTTAACAAACAGAAGCAAATGTGAACGTACATTCCTCCCCTCCATCATGCACATCCTTCTGCAATGGAGGAAGACAGAGAGGGTATACTGCCTAACGAGTTCCTTCGCCTTGGAAGGTGATACAGGAGGTTGTCTTTCTCTCTGCCCCCAAGCCTGGAGGACAGTACCTTACATCTTCTTGTGGCTAGACTAGATGATGTGGCTTTCTTATTTAGTTCTTTTCTGGATTTCATGCCACACAGGTCTGGAAAGACCTTCCTCACTACTGTCATTGACTGTCCACTATCAATGGTCACTAAGGTGGCTCATTACCACTTGCTCTGAATGACCCTGAACATGTATTCCTTATGGATGTGTGGCTGATTCATATATGGAACTGCATCCCAGAAATGGACTTCTTCAAGCTTATTTTTTCAATTTCTCCTCAACTGGATTCTATCAGAGTACCTGGTTTCAAGATCTGAAGTGCTGCCTTGGCAATGAAGAGAGCCATGGTAAAAGAGAGTCTCAGGTTTGGAGTTCGAATTCCATTTCGGACAACATCCAACAGGTAGAGAACCTGAACAATGGAGGGGGAAAAGACAGGTGAGTATTTTCAGAGAGTGCCTGTCTGGTCACAGTTTTTCAGGGAGTGCCTATTCTTTCACTGTAGGGACAAACACGAAGCCATGGTAGAGGACACCATGCCTTCCTCACAGGGATGCTCTTTGCTTTTATTTTTATTTATAGAGGCAGCTTGTGTCCAAAGGCTGAGAGAAATCTGATACTATGCCCTGAAATCCTATCTACCTGGCCCTCTACCACCATGGGACAGATCAGATAGTATGGAGAACAGTTTCCTTCACCACTAAGTTTAGACCAAAGACACTTTCAACAGAAGCCAAACCAATCTATCCAGTCACAAGATGGTGGTGTAGGAGGACAGAGGCCTTCCTTAGTCTGCTCAGGGCTGTGGAGTCTTCAGCTCAAGGTGAAGATTTGTCCCTTAGTAGAGGCCTCTCAGAACATGCCTTCTTTATGTTCCTCTAAAGCCTCCTCCCAGTTCAGGGTGATAGCCAGCTCACTGAAGCCGGCCAGGCCCACCCTCATCCCCATGCATGTCCTCCCTTCCTACTTACTTGGGACTTCTCCCGGAAGTGAGCCCCCTCTATGTGTGAGTAGTAGGCTGCCAGGATGTAGTAGGCGGCAGCTCGCATCTGGGGGTCATAGCTGCTGAGGGCTGCTACAGTTAGACCCAGAGCATTTGAATCCAAAAATTTTCGACAATCCACCACAAACTCTACACAAAGTAAATTATAGCATTAAATATATGAAACAATTTTATGATTCTTGTACAATCTACAGAATTCACTTTCTTCTTGCATCTTACCAATGTCAGCTAACCATAGTGGCCACAAAGAAGCAAGTCTATCTCTGGCTGCCCTTAACTGATGCTGAGGCTGGACAAGACTCCCCTTTCTTCTGTGGTAGTAATTATCTTGCCTTTGGCTTCTAAGATGCTGGTAACCCTAACCAGATTTAGTTCCTTGCTTCTCACAAATAGCCACAAAGTCAGAAAGAATGAAAGCAACACTGAGACCCACCGTGAGATCTCAGCATACCGATAAAATAGGGAACTGGTTTCCACATTTACCTGGTTCAGTCCTATGCCTCAAGACTACCATGTACTAGTTTATGGAGGAAGGAAGAGGAAGCTGGGAAATTCTGTCAAGAACCTCAGAGGAGAGCTATGCTACCTTAGCTGAAAAAAGATTAACTTGGTGATAATTCCCCATAATGATGCTCTTTAGACTGAGTGACCAGAGACCTAAATAGGAACTAGCACAGGCCACCTGAAATGAATGCCCTAATGAAGACACAGTATCAATGACAGAAAATAACAGGAGACTTTTAAACTTGGAGGAAAGATGGAACATGCTAAGTAGGAAGGAGGAAAGAATAGAGACCCAAGCAGCTTCTAGAGCTGGAAGCTGGGGATGAAAGTGCACTGGCTGCAATGTAGACCAGACACTGAGAAACGGGCGACAGTGAAATAGAAGACAGCAAGAAAAACTATCCAAACTGGACCAGAGAGAAGAAACAATGTAAAAGCTATGAAGAAACATCGGTGAGTAGCAGGACAACTTCTTGGAGCCTAGTGTATAACCTAGAACCCTGAAAAAGCCTTGGAGAAATCATGGCCCAAACTTTTCCAAATTTGACAAATACTATTACTGTACAGTTAAGGAGCTCAAGGAACACAAGCACAGAAACATGAAAGAAAATCACACCAAAGTGCATCATAAACTGCTTGAGGCCATGTAACATAAAGAAATGAAGGTAGGAATGATGACAGAGTTTTTGTGAGCAATAGCGCAATCCAGCAACGACAAAGCTAGCAGTCTAGAATTTTATATCCCTGGAAACTTCTTCAAAGTTGAATCCCCCCTCCCCCAGCAAACTATAAGAATTCTGAATAGAAGTATTTCAGAAAAGATGATTCCAGATAGAACTCTAGATCAACAGAAAGGAATGGAGAGAACAAGAAACGGCAACTATATGGCTAATGTCTAATACAAATCTCTTTTAAAAACAATGAGAAACTGAAGCAAACAAACAAACACATGGTGAGGTTTATAGGTAATAATGATGTTCAAGAGTAGCACAAAAGTCAAGAAGGGAGAAATAATCCATGCTGCTGTAAGCTTCTCACAGTCTTTATGAAACAAAACTCCCTGGCTGGAAAATAAACTGAAGCTGTATGACACAAATCCTAAAGCAACCAGCATGCACCTCATCAGAGATGAAGCTGAATCAGAAGCGTGATCTCACTGAATGTGAATAGTATACATACTCCAGTTAAGAGACAGAGATGTTGGATTAGATAAAACCAAAACTCAAGGAAGTGGATGCTGTTTATCAGAACCCAGAGAATTAAAACCCAGATCAGAAGTGAAGACTGGGAAAAGAACAAGCAGGTGACTCTTGGACCCCAAGAACTTATGGGTTGGTTTTCTAATTTCTAACAACTGATGGTTTTTGATAGGGCAAAAGAACTCAAAAATTTAAAAAGGTATCAAACTCCGGATAAAATTAACACTGTTTTGGAAAACCCTTTAAGAGATAGCTACATAACAAATATACAAAAACATATATTTGGGAGTAAGGACATTCTAAACATTTAATATTACACTCACTGAAAAGAGCTAGTATTCGGCTGGCTGGGATATTTTTAATAATTACTGACATTCTAAGACAAATGAATTTTCCATGTGTCCATGAGGAAAAATCAATTTCCTATTTCGTGACTGTTTCTGCTTCTCTATGAAAGTCTTGGCTTTGCAGTACTTATGGAAAAGAGCTGCCCTTGGGATGCTGAAAATATAATAGGCTATTTAAAAATGGTTATCAATGCCACTGTTTTAAGAACCTCATGAACAGCAATTTGACCTTCTAAACTAGATTTAAAATCCCAAAATGGCTTAACCAGGACAATGGTCAAGGATTAAAATAAAAACCCCCCAGGTTTAGTGGGTGTTTGTGGCAGTGCAGCTGTGCTCCGGGAGCACCAGAAGTGCTCCTCAGCCTCTTTTTACAAGACATCCCCAGTCATGAGCTGTAAGAGGGACTCTTCACAGTGAGTCCACAAGGCCAGCGCTCTGGGTACTTAGCAATGGCTCTTAGACTGCCATGCTGACAGCTTTGGCATATGTGAATTATGAGCTGCAGATTACAGCCCCATTCTGACAAGAGCAAGATCTGCTATGGAAAAAGCATCCATCACTGCCATTGGTAACAGCCTTGGGCAGCCCTGGTTCCTGGCCAAGGACTCAGAGAGGGGAGGCAGTAAGGTTACAAAAACAGGTTCCTACTCTCTGCAAAGGGCTGAAAACATAGCAATGAGACACAAAGAACCACAGGCATGACTTAGAACTGCAGCAGGGTCAGCAATACCTGGCCAGGGTGGAGCTGGAACAGACTGCTAGGACTTCTTGCTAAACATAGGTGAGATGAATCTCACAAACATAACAGAGGTTGAAGAAAGCTTGAGTTTGATCCCCAGGACCCATGGTAGAAGGAGAAAATCAACTCATAACACTCATACACATAAAAAATAAAAATTTACGAAATTTAAAAATAAACCAAAAATAACTGAAAGGGAGAAAGCAGATCAGTTCAAGGCCTCTAGGCCCAAGGAACAGCAAGGCTGGCCCCTATGTCCCAGACTTGTGCTAAAGAAGCCAGCTATACATTCAAAATAAGAAAACTATGACTTTGCTGACAGTCACTGCCATGAAAAGTCAGCCAAAGACCCTAAAAGAATGCTTTTCTTGATTAGGGCCCTAATTTGGGAGTCATGACAACTACTGACAGCATTCTGACTGCAAGAGCCCACCTGGCCTGGTCAGTTCCCCGAAGAGGTGCAGGAGAAAGCAGGGGTCATAAAGGCCATCAAGGCCCACTCTCACTCTCTTGTCTTTGAACAGTGGCTCCTGTGTGTTCTGAAACAGCAAAGTCAACAACATGCAATTTAACCTTATGGATGTACATCATGTGACTGCTAACCTCCACTATCAGAGCTCATAAAACAAAAGTAGTTCTATAAAAAGCAGACTTTACACATGACACGATCTTTGGGATTTGCCTCAAGATAAGCTTTCGGGGAGAGGAAAGTAATAAATAAAACCATGTGACTGGTATGAACAACCATTACTGAAGCTGGTGATAGACATGCTGAGTCTACACAGTCTCTAATTCTGTACACTGCTAGAACTTTACTTATCAAATGTTAATAAGGAAAACCAAGTCAAGGGCACAGAGGGACCCCTAGGAGGAGGAGGAGGATAACAGCTGTGTTGCACCTCAGCAGGCAGCAGCCTCCGGTTCTGTGGGAAGTGCAGGATGGTCTGCATCATTCGGTCCCGGTCTAGCAGGCGGAGGATGTCCCCGACGCTCGGTTGCTGCCACAATGACTTGCCCAGGCTTCGGCAAGTCTTGTGATGTTCCACAGCTGCTGGGCCCCACAGCAGTACCCTGAAGCCAAAGAAAGGAGTGCAGACCTCAGTAGGAACAGAACTGATGACAACAACCTCAACAGGCAGCATCCATTAACATGCTAGCTCATGCCACATGCTGCTCTGCATGTGTATACATGCTTTATCACTTGATCCTCACCCACAGCTTATGAAGTAGGCAGTGGTGACTGAGGGCACAGTGACAGTTGGTGATGGCAACAGATGTCAGCACCCACATACTCACACTACTCATGGTATGCTTGGTGGATTGTGAGCCTTTCCATGTGCTGATTTACTTAATCTACACAATAATCCCACAAGGAAGCTGTCACCACCCACTGTGCAGCAGGGGTGAGAAGACTGGGAAGCTGCCTAGCCACTCACTTGCCAGCTGGTAAGCAGCAGAGCCAGGATTCAAAATCTTGAGTTTGGCTTCAGAGTCAGGCTACAGCAGCAGCAGAATCCTGACCTCCTGCTGCGTACAGAAGGCACCAGCAAATCAGGGCTGTCTGCAGGAGCCTTTAGCTGGACCTGCCCAGTCAGTACACCCTGTGTAGCCCCATAACTCCTCTACAGCTACCCAGAGGCCCACCCATCTCACCTTCCACCTGAAAAACAACTCACTTGCTCTCTTCCTCCCCACTCTTCTACTCTTCCCACCAATCTCCCCATGGTTGCCATGATGTTCCGCCAACCCCCCTCTCCTAGCATCTGTTGGCACTCTGCATAGGCCTACGCCACCACCCCACAGACCATCCACTCTGTTTCCTTGAGCACATCCTCCAGTCCAGATATGGTGATTGCTCTGGTATGGGCATGATTCCTGAAAAAAAATGCATGCTGAGGCTTTGTTCCTGAACATGCCATGAACAGTAGACAGGGCGTGATGGAGGCCAGGGACCAGGCCATGGGATATCATCCTCTGAGTGGATTAATGCCTGTCTCTTGGGGCTCAGAGGATGGGACATAATAGCCAAGAACAGGTTGTTATGTAGCCTGGTCTCTCACTGAAGTCTGCCTCCTCCACACACACTACTCATGGTCTTGGCACATGATGCCATCTGCCATGCTATGACAGCTATGGGCCCTCACCAGTAACTGAAGCCATGCTGTTTGGTCTTTGTAGCCATAAGAACTATGAAACCTTTTTGCTTTATACATTACCAGAGTGAGGCATTTTCTAATAGCAATGTGAATTAAACTAACATATTCACCTACTCACCACGTCCCAAAATGTTCTAGCTATCCCACCTCCTAGCTGCCATGAATGCTGCTCCCCATGTGCCTCCATCAACCATATCTCCAACAAGCTTTCCCTACACTTCCAATACCAACACTGCTGTTGAGCTTTCTTTCCCAGCAGAGCAGAGCCTTTGCTCTTATGTGCTTCTCTAACAGGGTGTGAGCAGCTGTTGCATTAACACGTTCCATTTGACAACTGGGAGCCTCTGGTAGGCTGTGGTTAAGACTCTTCTATTTTCTGAGAGCCAAATTTAGGAGTTCACAAACTTCAGGTACTAAAAGGACATCTATTGAACAAAATCCTTGTAAGAAGAGTTCTGAAAAGACTTGTTTCTATGCAAGGCAGCAACAGACACTAACAAGTAAAGAATCACCCTTTAGGAGGTGCTCACAGCTCCACTTCATTTCCAACAGGCAGGTGGCTGATGTGCTGGACACACCTAACCAGGCTGCCAACTACTGACCATTGAGGGCACAGAATTGTGTGCACAGCTCCCCATTGGGGCTCCTGGGTTCAGGCTCATCCCTCCATTGGAAGATGTAACAGTTATTTTCAGACATGAAATGCTTCAGTACTCCTTAGCTACAAGGAGCCTGTGAACTCCATAGACTTTGTTTGCACTCTTTCCTTAGGGAACTGAAAAGAGGGTCTTCTTTTATAACCAGCGCTAACCTGCTTAGCCTCACATTGCTCTCTGAGTCTGAAGGAGATCCAGTGAAAAAAATGGGTAAGTTTTAAGACTCTTTTTCCAAAGGAATAAGACTTGCCCCCAATTTTCTTTGTTCTCCCCCAGGCACGCAGGCACTGTCATGTTCCAAAAGGAAATCATGCCAGAGTGCCAACCCGAAAGCAACAGAAGAGAGTGAGGCTAGTGCTCAAGGGGAAGGACAGGCAAGGTCTCCCAAGACATGCCCTTCCTTGAGAGAGAAGGCTCTGTATCCTTTTTCCTTCCTCTCTCTGGGATTGGAGGGCTTCCTGGACTAACACAGCTTTCAACTTTAAACAAAATGCTCAAAAAGGAAAACAATCTTTTCCTTTAAGCTTTCCTGAACTCTCTCTTGGCCCAGGTAGTGTACTTGCTCTGTGAATATCTAAGACCTTTGCTCACATGGTGTCAGGAGATGTGAGGGTACTGTTCCCACAGCCTGAGGAGAAAAGGAGAAACCCGTTCAATGAAGAGTCCAGAAATGCTTTCTACCAAGGTGTGCTTGTCAGTTTCTGCTTGGCCCTTGCACTTGCACATAAAACAGGACCCCAGAGAAAGCATGGAGCCCAGGTCCCTTGGATGGAGCTGTGAGGGCCAAGGGAGTTGGCAAACAAGCCTGAAGTCTAGGATGACTAGACAGGCAGCCCTCTTCACTGGTCTCCCCATATCTGCTTCTCACAAATCACTCCATTTGGGAAAGGTTTGTAGAAATTCAATCACAGGAGTGCTCCCAGCCAGGAGTGAGGCAGAGGGTAGCTCCTTTGTACACAGGACACCTATGAGATACGTCTTCACAGTGTGAAGCCAAGCCTTCACCAGGCAGCCTACACTGAAGCTGTGCATAGTTAGGGGAGCTCTGTTCCTGATACCCAATGGCCTGGAGAATCAAGTCTCAAATCTAGAACTCACTGTGTGGAGTAGGGGAGGGTTGGGGGGGTTCCGTCACTAGGCCCGATACCCTCAATGCCCTCTTGTCCATAACTATCTGCCAACCCAACACTCACCTGAAGTTGATGAGACTGAGGTTATTCTGTTCATATGCCCGGAGAAGCAGCAAAATCTTCTGGTCTATAAGTCAAACGAGGGCCACTTTAGATGTTGAGCCGCTTAAACACACATAAAGATACACCCCACCAGCTCTCCCTCCATACTCTACCCACACAGCCCAGCCATCAGGCCCCTCCTTACCCAGGACACTGAGAGTAGCACTGTAGGCCCCGAGCAGCACAGCAAAGTGGTTGCTCTCACAGACAGAAGGGCACATCCGTACCACTGTGTACATTAGGTCCACCAGCACTTCTGGAAGAAACAACATGGGAATGTCAGTACTGTGGGTCACATTCTCAGGAGCAGAGTGGAACAGAGCAGAGCAGAAGAAGGAACACTAGAGGGAACACCTAAAGTTGGAGCTATCTTTTTAACAAGGCTGGGCTTTGGGCCTCCATCTTAGCCTCTTCCCTAAGACTGAATGCATTCTTTTAATAAACACATTTTGACAATTACTGTCTCCTTAGGCTTCACAAGGCTGAGGATCAGCAACTACTCACACCCCCTCCAAAATTTTAAGCTACCTAAGATTTTAAAATCTAAGCATGCTCCCATGATTATGCTACCACAAGCACTAACACTCCTCCTACACACAGCGTGGAGCCTATTTTAATTTTTCTACTATCTAGTCCAATAATTTGGGTAACAGTTGTCTCTTCAAACCAGAAGTTTATGACAGACAGACTAGTCCTGTGCTGATGTATAATGATCTGGGAATGATGGCTCTGTCTCTAAACAGTATGACTTGGAGTGGGCAGGAACACTCAGACTGTCTTCTTTGACATCCCAGTAGCCTACTCTACAAGAGTATAACTTGTGCTTGCTGACTTATAGACAGTGAATAAACCTGGCTAAGAGAGATTCTGTAGCAATGAACTGCCACCAAGTAAGTTCAAACTCTTTTTGCTTAAGTTTCAATATTTTCCTACAAAATTCATGCAGTCAAATCAACCCCTCTCAGGCAAGATGCCTACACTTATTTTCCCATACCTCCAAACCTTTCCTAGTTCCTAGACATTTAGCACCAGATCATGATAGGGCAATAAGATCACCAACACAGCCTCTGTAAGCCAGACAAGGCCTTCAAAACGGGCCTGGAAGACAAAAGATTATTTCTAGACCCTGGATTTGACAGAAACAAGATACTCTAATACTGTGCTCTAAAAATAAGCGGAGGAGGAGCTTAGGTGCATGGCTAGCTGGATGAAACTGGAATATGAAAGCTGCCACTGAGCTGGGAGGGTAGTGTGAGGGGTCACCTTTTACTAGAGTATCTGGCTTTTCCTCTTGCTCAGACATCAGCAGGCTTGGCAGAAACAGAGAATGCTGGGTGAGCATCATGTGGACCACTGGGAGATCCATCAGCTTTGTGTGCACTGGGCTTTCTGGGCTATATAGGAGCTCCATGGAATCGCAGAGAATCTTTAAAAAGGTGTGGTCCTGATACCGAAATCTGGAAAGTGAGAATCAAAGGGAAAAAGCACCACAGGGGTGGGAGGGTGGTGTAAATTATTTTGTAGAAAACACTTTTCTTAGAATTTCATTAAGAATTTCAGGGGCTGGAGAGATGGTTTGGTGGTTAAGAGCACTGGCTGCTCTTTTGGTTCCTCCGCAGCACCTACATGATAGCTCACAACCGTCCTTAACTCCAGATCCAAGGGATCTGACGCCCTCTTCTGGCCTCCATAGGCATTGTAAGACATGGGTGCACTTACATACATGCAAGCAAAAAACTCATACACATAAAAATAAAATACTTAGAGATGGCTCAGCAGTTAAGAACACTGGTTGTTCTTGCAGAAGACCTGAGTTTGAATCCCAGCACCCACATGACAGCTAATAACTGTCTGTAACTCTAGTTCCAGGGAATCCAATGGCCTTTTCTGTCCTCTGTGGACATGGCACAACATGGGTGTACTTACTATATGCAGGCAATATACTCATACACATAAAATAAAAATAAGTAAAATATTAAAAAATAAATAAAAATAAAAAACTTAAAAGGAATTTTTAAAAACTTAAAAAGATTTTTAAAACAGTACAGAGTTGGAAATTTACAATGGATGTCTATACACTCATCACCAACATGGCACTGGACTTGCTTTATCACAGTCCTATCTGTCTAACATCACAGGGACCACTTCTGAAAACAAGGGACTGCCACTAATAACAGGAACATATTGTTGAGATGGAAAACTGCATTGTGAGGCAATTCCATCACGATACAGACATCACAGAATGTACTCACACAGACTAAGACAGCTATATCACCAGGAGCCATAACCTCATGTGGGAGTACCATCATATATGAGATAATCATTGATCAAACCATCTAATGTGGTCCATGGCTGGATTTTCTTTATGGCATAGACACCAAAGGAGTTTCCTGTTTAGCTGAACCACTAGGAGGCAGTGGAACTGAGCCTGAGGACAGGACCTATAGCCAGCTCTGCCTCTCTCCTTCATTCCCTTGCACCATTCAGAATTACCAAATACCTGGAAGGTCATGTCTTAAATCCCTTCAAAACCCAATAAAGGAAGAGAAACACCATGATCTAGGAAAAAAGTCTTTAATGCTATATAAATGTTAAGAATCAGTTCACCTGTGAGCCCTGTGAGGTACAACCATGACAGGTGTGCCAAGATAAACTCATGGGTATAATAGTGACACAAATGTTATGGGGTTAACCAATCACTTTCTGATTAGATTTAAGGCCCCTTTCCCAGGGGGAAATGCATGCCTGGTACTGTTAACGTGACCAAGAACCCATTATGACTGGGGAGGTTGTAGACCCAAGATGAACCTATTATTATTTTACTAAATGGACATAGTATCTTAACTGCTCACTAAATTCGTAGCTCTATATTCATAGATTGGTACAGGTCTCAGACCTCATCAGAGAAGTTTCTTTACGCAGTGAATGTTGGTCAATGCATAAGACCACAATTGGTTAAAGTGCAGAGAATAAGTGTCTATGGAGTGCTCAGACATAAATGGGACATCTATATCACCCTCTCTAATACCCAAGGTTCAGGTACTACTGCAGAAAAGGGGGAGGAAAGATTGTAAGAGCCAGAGGTTGGGAAGGATCAGAATAAAACAGTGCCCTGAACATAACAGAACTGCTGCACTCATGAACTCACAGCAGATGTGCTTGCTTACCCAAGACCTGCACAAGATCAAGCCAGTCTCCATGCTAATATGGAGGGGGGAGGGGCTTACCAGCCTAATAAATAAAGAGCTATGGATAGCTGATGGCTTCTTGGGGAGGGAGAGTCAGTTTAAGGATATGGCTTCTGGTAGGTAGATCATGTTCCAATGGATGGCCCTACACCCAGGATTATATGGGCAGCATAGATTAAGACTTGGTGGGTTACCTAAAAGGTCTGTGTTAAGAAGAAGAAAAAAAAAAAAAAAAAAAAAAAAAAACAAACCCCAAACAAACAAACAAACAAACAAAAAACAGTTTAGAAGCAGGGTATGGGAAGATAGCAGGGATAGAGGATCTGGGAGGAGTTGGGGGAGAAGTTAGGGGTGAATATGATCAAAATACATTGTATACATGTATAAAATTCTCAAATAAATATTATTTTATATATAATAACAATTCACACAAGATGGACACTTCAGAAACATGAATTAACTAAAGATGAGAAGAAATGTCCCTGGTGTCATGATGGTGTATAGCTATAATCTCCATACTAGGGAAGAGAAGGCAAGAATATTGATGATGGAGGCTAGCCTGAGCTACATAGTGAGCCCCTGGCTCCAGAAGTAAAAAAGAACAAGAAAAAGAAAAGAAAGCAAGAGAAATGGTGAAGGTCACTCATAGAATTCTCTTAAAATCATGCTCCCAAGCAAGGGCTCCATTCATTTTCATTGAAGCAGGATCTCCAGCATGAAATGGGGAAGTAGAGGTCAGATCCTTAAGAGAATCTTGCCCTTTTGGATCCCTAGACCTAAACCAAAACACACAAATATACATACAAAAATCATAAACAGGTATCATAAATTTCTCATTGCTTTCAATGAGATAAAACTCGAAGTGCTTTGCTTTGATGCTTTTTTCATGTATATGAGTACTTTGCCAGAAGAGGGTGTTCTAGTCCCCAGAACTGGAGTTAGGGATGGTTGTTAGTCACCATATGGGTGCTGGGAACTGAACCTGGGGCCTCTTAACCTCTGAGCCACACCTCTAGTCCCTGCTTTGATACATAAAAACATGTATATATTATCTTGGGTGGAGGGCATGGAAGGGTCCTGAAGGAACCTTCATATGACCAGGTCACAAGAGGAGTCCATGGCTCAGTGAGCTTGTTTACATTACAAATAGTCACTTTTTGGTTGAGAGGTTAGGTAAAAGTCATCAGTCCAGATTACATCCATATTGTAAAGGTCACTCCTACACCATGCTATATCTTTTAAAAATATTTTAGTTATTATTTTTATTTTATGTGTATGAGTGTATTGCCTGCATGTATGTGAGTGCGCCTGTGACATGCAATGTGCAGAGGTCAGAAGACAGCTTCAAATTCCCCTAAAACAGAAGTTAAGGATGGTTCATAGCCACCTGGGAATCGAACCCGAATCCTCTGCAAGAGGATTAAGAGCTCTTAAACCGCTGAGCCATCTCTCCAGCCCCACACCATGCTATTTCTATCCATGCCATTTCCACTCTTGTATTCTGGGGACATTTCTTTTTATTATGTATTGCTTGCATGTAGGTAGGTGTACCTGTCCCATGCAATGCTTATGGTGGTCAGAAGAGGGTGTCAGATTCCCTGGAACTAGAGTTACAGGCTGTTATTAGCTGCCACATGAGTTCTGGGAATTGAACCCGGGTCCTCTGCAAGAGCAGCCAGTGCTCTTTAACCACTGAGCCATCTCTCCAGCCCTAACATTTCACTTTTAAAATGTTGTTTCTCTCCTCTAAGGGAACTTCCATGGTCAAATCAGCCATTTCTTTACGTGGCAAAGAAAAAAATAAAATCAACTTACTTGAGTCCTGTCTTCACAAATTTCTGCCAGTCACTAGGATCAACATCATTAAGTGCATGCTAGAAAAAAAGAAGACAAGAAATACACATGAAACATCTCAATGAACTAAAAATACTGAAGGCTACACAATGAGATCCTGTCTCAAAAAACAAACAAAAAAAAGTGCAGGGAGACTATGATGGTCAATACTGATTATCAACTTGACAGGATCTAGAATCACCAAAAAGACAAACTTCTGGGAATGTCTGTGAGGAAGTTTCTACTTTGGGTTAAGTGAGGTAGAAACATCTACCATAAATGTGTGCAGCACCATCCCTTGGGAAAGGATCCCAGCGTGCCTAACAAGGAAGCTAGCACATGCATTAATCTCTCTCAGCTTCCTGACTGTGATTACAATGTGACCAACAGCCTTATAATCCTGCCACCATGCCTCCCCTGACATGATGGACTGTACTTGCAAACTGTGAGTCACAATAAACCCTTCCTTCTTTAGGTTGTTTTTGTCAGGTCACATTGGAAACAGAAAATATAACTAATACAAGGATCACACAGAAATTTATCACAAAACTCTGTAACAGCAAGACAAGCTGGAAAGCCACCTATAGGTCTAAGAATGTATGCGAGGTACAGTTCATTTAACTAAAGGGTGAATACCACTAGTGAAGGAGAACAGGAGACAGTTCTTAATTAGGCAGATAGACAGGGAAGGAGGCCCCAGACTACATTCAGCTGTGTTCCAGTTTACTTTCACTTTCGTCCAAGATGGCCCATTTCCAGGTTCTTGTCCAAAGTGGGCCCTCTGGGGCAGGTTTTTTTCTGCAGTCTGCAGGCTCCCTCTGGCAGGAATTTCAAATTCAGCCCTTGCTCTACCCCATCTGGCTCCTGCTTTCATATGAGTGATCTAAACAACATGCATCCTACTCTGTCCAATTCAAAGGGGGAAAAGGGGAGTCCAGTTCTGTCCCACCTCCTACTCTATGGAATATAAAAGCCCAGACTCTCCAGGGGGGTAGATGGTGCTCCACCTTTGGACCCCCTCTTCTTATGGGGACTCTGTCTCTTTGTTTGCTATATGGCGTGTTACTTCTGCTTCAATAAACCTTGGCTTTGAGCTGTGACTGAAAACTTCTCCTCATGTAATTTTTAATTTGGTGAAGAAAAGGATCGAAGAACAGATCCTAGGTGGCACCAAATGTCAAAACAGGTTTATGGTCACTGGTGTGGGGACAAAAATCTCAAGATACACTTGGATGGCTTATCTTGGTTGTCAACTTGACACACTTAGGAAGTGGGAAACTTAACTGAGGAATTTCCTCCATTAGACTGGCCCGTGGGCATGTCTGTCTGGCATTCTGATCCTTGATTAATATAGGAAGGCCCAGCCTACTGTGGGAGGTGCTATCCCTAGGCAGGTGGGCCTGAGCTTACAATAAAAGAGCTGGCTGAGCAAGCCAGAGGCATGTAAACAGCATTCCTTTGTGGTCTCTGTTTCAGTTCCTGCCTCCAGGTTTCCTGCCCTGAGCTTCTGCCCTGGGTTCCCTCGATGATAGACTGTAAACTGTAAGCTGAAATAAATCTTTTCCTCCTTAAGTTGCTTTAGGTAATGATGTTTTATCACAGCAACAGAAAGCTAACTGGGACATATACCACAAGTACATGAACCATCCTATTAACACAAAAATTTTAGTTTTATCTCCAACACATGCAAGCACAGATGCATAACATCTCTAGAAGAATCATCTAACTTACAGTGGGATGGTCTCTAGGTATTAGGGATGTTTTAATTTTCTTCATTTTCACATTGCTGATTTTATAGGAGGTTGGGGGGAAGACAGCTTGGTACTGTAGATGAAGCCTGAGGACTTGGATGTGCTAGGCAAGCACTCTACCACTGAGCCAGCTCTGCATTGCTGAGTTTTAGAAGGGCACTGTTAGCTTTAGGTCACAAAACCAAGTAAGTTCAAGTTTTCATGAGATTGGTAGAAAGTGAGGTAGGCATCACACAATGGAAAACTACTCAGCAAAAAAAACCAAAAAAACAAAAACAAAAAACCTCCCACAATTAGCTACTCATTCCCATAGCAGATGAATCTGGAAAGTTTGTTCAACTGAGAGACACATAAAAAAGTACTTATATGACCATAATTCTAAGTGTATGAAAGTCTAAAACAGGCAAGATAATCTACTGGCAGAAATCAAGTGTGGGTGCCTCTAGGAGAAAGGAGTTTCAAGAAGCAGCACAGTGAACTTTCTTACTGAAAATCTTGGACAGGAGAGTTGAATACACAGTGTATAAACTACAAAAATAACAGATGCATATGTCATACTATGTAAATTATACCTCAAGAAACCAAGACAGGGGTGAGGAGAAGGCTAACCCCTAAGAGAGCATTGCCTGAAGTTTTGCAATCAAGCTACATGGCTGACGACTGTCCATGAGGCCAGGCAGCATTTCCTGGGGATACCCATCTGGCTGGCAAGCACCACTAACTCTACAATCTGGCTCTGATTAGGTCTTAGGCACATTTTCTCCTCTCTGCCATGTTTGGGTTCCTGTCACTTTAAATTCATAAACCTATGACACTTTCTTAAATTAATGAAGAAAGCACACAGCTTGGTCCATGACTTACATGGGTTGGGTTCAGACAGAGACTCCAGGACTCAGTAATACAACTTATACTGCACCTTAAGGGATAGCTATTTCCATACAAAAACATTTTAAAAAAGGGACACTTTCCAGCCTTGGTAGACAAAAGAAAAATGAGAAGGAACCCAATGGAGAGAGGCTTTTGGAAGCTCTCGTCCAGAAATTCCAATGGACTGATATGAACATTTGAAATTTGCCATTTTGACTTTTTTCTGGTTCCCTGTCTAGACCTTGTAATGCTAATTACTCTTGCCTTTACTTCTCCTTCACATCTCCTAGGTACCAGTCAAGAACTTTCTTGTCTCCCTACAGTTCAGAGTTATGCAATTTGGGAGTCTTTTATCTACTGAAGGGGTACCCCAGTTGCCTTACCCTGTGTCCCTGTTCAGCACGGAAGAAGCCAGAGTGGTCTGCATCCCAACTCCCTATTGGCAATGTGGGTAACCTCTTCAGGGGATGGTGTAATAAGGAGGTAGGAACTGGCTAGGCAGTTAGGATAAAAAAACCCCAAAGAAAAGTAGCCAGTTTCTTGGCTAAATATCAAAATGTCATTGGGCCTCTTAGCAACAATACTCTGTTCCAAAGGCGAAAAATGTCAAAAGTATTTGGGAGCTCTAACATAAACCCCTAAAACATTCAGAGGGGGCAATACAGAGAGTGGAGAAACAACTATACCCCAGGGGCAACAAAAGAAAATAAAGGTATAACTGAGGAAACACAAATAGACAGAGAACACAAATAGCAATCAAAATGATAGCAACCAATACACATCACTCAATAATAACCTTAACTATCAATGGACTGAACTCCCCAGTCAAAAGACACAGGCTAAGTGAATGGATTAAGAAACAAAATTCATCTCTTTGCTGTCTAGAGGAAACCCATCTCACCTTTAAGGACAGGCACTACCTTAAGGTAAAAGGATGGAAAAGAATATTCCAAGCAAATGGCACTAAGAAACGAGCAGGGGTTGCAATTCTAATATCTGACAAAATAGACTTCAAAATAAAACTAATCAGAAGAGAAAAGGAGGGTCACTTCATTCTGATCCAAGCAACAATGAACCAAGAATATAGTCCAATCCTTAACATATATATACCAAACTCTGGTGCACCCAAATTCATAAAAACAACACTACAGGACTTTAAGAAACAGATTAATCCCAACTTAGCAATAGTAGGGGACTTCAATACCCCACTGCCTCCATTAGACAGGTCAGCTGGACAAAGAATAAAGAGAGAGACGTCTGAATTAAATGATACATCAAATGGGACCAACACACACCTTTCAGATATTCCACCCAAGCATCAAAGAATACAAAATATCCCATGGAACTTTTTCAAAAATTGACCATATACTGGGCCACAAACCAAGACTCAACAAATACAAAGAAATTGATATAATTTCATGCATTCTATCAGACCACAATGCAGTAAAGCTCAAAATCAACACTGGACAAAGCCCTAGTCACTACACGAACTCCTGGTGATTGAACAACATACTCCTGAAAAGTGAGTGGGTCAAAGGAGAAATTAAGAAATAAAAGAATTCATGGAATTCAACGAAAAGGACAATACAACACAACACAACATCTGGGACACTTTAAAAGTAGTCCTAAGAGGGACGTTTATAGCTTTAAGTGCCTACATTAAAAAATTAGAGTCCAAGCTGGGTGTGGTGGCCCACGCCTTTAATCCCAGCACTTGGGAGGCAGAGGAAAGGATCTTTGTGAGTTCAGGGCCAGCCTGGTCTACATAGTGAGTTCCAGGGCTGCTGGGGCTACAGGGAGACCCTGTCTCAAAAAGACACACACACACACAAAATTAAGAGCCCAAATAAATGACCTACCACTGCAGCTCAAGATGCTGGAAAGGCAAGAACAAATGAAACCCAAATCCAGCAGAAGAGAAGAAATACCAAATATCAGAGCACAAATTGATGAAATAGAAACAAAGAAAACAATACAAAGAATCAATGAATCTAAGAGCTGGTTCTTTGAAAAGCTAAACAAGACAGAAAGACCCTTAGCCCAGTTAACCAAAAGGAAGAAAGAGCAAATCCAAATCAACCAAATCAGAGATGAAAGGTGAAACACCGCAACAGACACCCAAAAGATCCAGACCATTATAAGGGAATATTTTAAAAACCAATATGCTACTAAATTTGAAAGTCTAAAAGAAATGGATAGATATCTAAAATCATGGGACCCACCAAAATTAAACCAAGAAGAGAAACAGTTTAAACACACCCATAACATATAAGGAAATTGAGCCCAACTAAAAAAAGCCCAGGCCCAGATGGATTTACAGCAAAATTCTACCAGACATTTAAAGAAGACCTCCAACCAATATTACTTAAATTATTTAAAATGATAGAAACAGAGGGAGAACTACCAAATTCTTTCTATGAAGC